AATGCCGGCGCCTCCAAATCACATGACCGATGTATAGGCTTTGGAGCGTGATGTCACGGGAGGGGGTGTGACCAGGATTTTTGGTTGAGGCACCATATTTCTGCGCCAAACAAAGCGCTAGCAAAAGAGGAGAGAAAGCACACGGTTAACACGTACTTGCTGTGTGGTCGTAACGTTAGACACACAACACACAACCATTGTTTCTCCACCTGGAAGCATCATGAGGGTAGTTTTATTTGCGATGTGATCTGGGGTCATAACAAATTAGAACAAACATCCTAATGAGTGAATTTGCAGAACTATGTTCTATTTATAGAGTTGCTATTTGGCATTATTGCAGAAAAACTTGCCTATGAAATGGATGAAACACATTGTGACTGGTTTCCAGCGCTACACATAGCGGTTGGTCTTCAGGGTTTCTACTCCATGGGTGTACTTCATACGAGTCCACATTTCCAGTGCATGCTATTTTTGGCAAATATCGTCTCTTTGCATCTGGACACAATCTGTCTCTGTACCGTCCTTTTTCTTTTGAGCTGCTTTTAAGCATGTTTCTAACAACTGTCCTCCCAACTCACGCCAGAAATATGGCGCCGCGCTCCCACAATACATTGTGCCGATGCGTCAGTTCCAAAGCCCTATACTTACTGCTTTGATGTATTCTAACCATATATGTACGATGCACATTACAGGACGTAACACCTGCATAGGTGTAAAAGAAATGGCTTTGGTTTCCATGCCACCCTGAGAAAACTTCTCTAGTTTTCTAATTCTACTGTTATGAACTTTAACCTTTACCATGCTGAGGCCTGTCCACCTGACCTCCTATGTCAGGCGTAACGAGCACTGGTTAAAGTTATTTTTGGTTTTTAGGGCGAATAAAAAAGGTTCGCTCGAGTCAGAGAATAATCTGAAATCCAAAGATGAGTTAGTTATAACACAGACAACACAAGAACCAACATTTTTATATTCTGCCAGTTAGAAATATTTCAGGGACTTTGATTTTTAATCATTCTAAAACACTCAAATCAGAATTGTTAATAAATTATATGAAATACTGAAGAATTTCAAAAATAAATAATAAATAAAAAGA